GCCCCGGCGCCCGCCCGGCAGCCCGTCCGGAAAGCGGGCAGAGCAGCGCTGCCTTCTCTCCGTCCTGCGGAGCCTGGGTGCGCTGGGTAGCGCCTGGAGAGCGAGCATCACCTCCAGCCTCCGCAGCGGAGTGCAACAGAAGAGCTTTGCAGCGCGTATCGTACGTTATTATGTGGACGCTGTTACTTCTTTGTATTTCACTCCCTGGCCTTTCTCCCTCTGCCCGTTTGGATTTTCCAGACCTACGTTCCTGGTGGCAGTTCCCTGGAACATCAGGCCTGGAGCAAACGTGACTGTTGGGGTAGCTCTGCTGCCGGACAGCCCAGCACAGGTCACCGTAAGGGGAGAGGTGATCAGAGATAACAAGACCATCTTGAGCAGGGAAATGGTCTTTGAGAAAGGTAAGAGAATGGAGTTGGCCTGGAAAGATTTAGATTTGCCTTCTCCCACACATATTTTGTTGCTCCCAAAATATCACAGCTTCTAAATGGTACTAAAATAGGAACTTTATTTTACCAAGTAGGAGTCACTGATGGGAAAATAACTCTTGTACTCCGCTGGCTCTGTGTGCAGGTGGGTGACTGAGCTGGATAGCGAGTGGTTGCATGGGTGTGCTAGCTCATTGTAAACTCTGAAAATAATCAGATAGTAGCGAAGTGTGATGGATGTGGGGTTTCTGAGGAGCCAGGAAGTACTCTGGTCAATGTACTGGAGCCACTGAAGGAAGTAGAGGAAGAGGTGCTCACTGGTCGGCTTGTTAAGGTGCAATGTGGAAGCAAGTAGGATAATGGTAAGGGTGGAACAAACAAGGTGATAAAGCATTTGGAGCTGACTGCTTCTCATGCCCTAAGAAAGGGAGGACCTGAGGACAAGAGGAAGGTGGAGATGACTGTGTCAGACACCATTACTTGGAAGCTCTGTGCATTTGCAGAAACAGAAATTGTTAAGGATCAAGAACTGAATTGCGGGACAGGTTGAAGATAAGTAAACCTTAGAGCAGGCTGATTTAATGCATGCAGTAGAGGACGTGGTGGCAGTTCTGAGTAGTTGGAGAACTGAGATATCCTGGTCACTGCTCCTTTTCATAAAGGCCAGCTGGGAACAGAAGCATAGAGATGTCCTGCCTGAGGTTTGCCCTTATGAGAAAGAAAATATTTTGTCTGGATAATCCAGCTTTCAAACTGCTCTTAGTATGAGGCAATATAAATGACACCTGAACTCTAGCTTTTTATTTGTCAAAAGTAGAGAGTCTGGGGGCAGTATGAGGTCCTAGAAAAATCTACCCTGCTATAATGCGCTTTCTTCTTGTTGGTGTCAACTAGCTTTTCTATTAATGTCATATAGTTAATGTAGATGCCTTAATTGGAAGCATCACACCTTCATTTCAAAGCCTTCATGAAAGCCCACCTCTTCACAACCTGTAGAGAAGACTGAGGCTTTGAGTGTGATGGAGTGCATTTGACCAGATCAAAAAATTCACAGCCTCAGGATGCAGAAAAGCGTATCTGTTCAAAACTCTTCTTGCTATTTCAAATATTCTGAAAAAGTTTTCCAGAACTATGCATTGGTATGTTTTACTTCAGGTTGAGTATTGTTTATCCACTCTAATTTTATATTGTTACCAGGTATATGTCCTTCAGCAGCCAATGTAAAAACATAAACCTGAGGCAAATTTCCTGTGGTGCTATGGCTAATTAAAAAAAATTAACCTAAGTGTTCATTCCTGATTTAAATCGAATTTATACACCTGATCTGTTAGTGTCCAAATCTAACCCTTGATACATCACAACACACATGATTTGCTAGCACCTAAAATATGCATGCAAGTAAAACAGACTGGCTGTCATGCCTACAGTCCTTAATCTTAAGTCTCCATAAAACACTACATGCCATATTTAGATTTTGCTTATTCAAAAGTACAGACCAAGCCTATTGGACTAGACATAGCGGAGGATTCAGCAGTGGATAAAGGAACATTCTTATTCTGTGGAGAAAATAACTTCCATGTATTTATTATGCTATTAGTAGTAAGCTTGCCTTTTTAAGTTCACAATTCCTCTTCAGACTTTTCCTGGCAGTATTTTGATACAAAAACAAACACAAAACAAACCCAAACCAACTGATTTATTGTTTTTAAAAGAAAAACTGTCTTCTCCTTTTCTTCCTCTAACTATACTGGCTTTTATTTCCTGCTTCTGTTCTGCTTAATGTCCTGGTTAACGGGGGAGGTTCCTGGTTAATGGGGGAGGTCCCGGACAACTGGAGGCTTGCCAATGTGACGCCCATCTACAAGAAGGGCCGGAAGGAGGATCCGGGGAACTACAGGCCTGTCA